GTTGGGGTGAGGGGTGGGGCCTGAGCAGACGCCGGAACTCACCGCTTCTGTGGGTAGAGAACCTTGTAGTCCAGTTGGCTTTCCTCTTGCAGCCCCCCTACTCTACCCTCCACACCCCGGTATAGCTAGTATTTAAAGCTGCACACCCAGGTAAGGAAACCCTGTTAGATTAGGAAGCCTTGTATGATCTCCAGTCTGGAGCAGTGTGTCACTGAGGACAGGAGGTGCAAAGCCAGTCACTCAGAGACACGATCAACCCTAGACATAGTCAACCAGAGACACGCTCACTAAAGAGAAAATTTTTCCACGCACACAGAAAAGGGATTAAGCAAAATGTGAGGGACAGCAGCAAAAACTAAGTCCTGCACCTTTCTTTGTGTCTTTACAAATTGCTTATGGGTCGATCAGTTACTCCTTTGGAAGCAGGAAATTCTAACTATTGGGAAGACACATTACTTTTTGTTTCAGAGTAATTGTTGTGTCTGCTTGAGACAGAGACAAGCACCTGCCACACTTACAACTTAAGATCAGTTCCAGAGAGCAGAGGGTGCAGGGAAGAAAAGCACAGCACAGTAAGCAACAGCAAAAGCAACGGGAGGCCACGCCTGCCCTTCCTGCCCATGGGCTTGTCTTTCGCTATGAACCAGCCAGTCTCAGACGCCATGTGAGTGGCAGTTGACATCAGTCATGACCTAACCCCTGCACATGGGGAGGTCAGCACGTGCCTGCCTTTGTGCGAGAAAGAGGAAACACTGTGGCACCAGGCCCGTGGCATGAGAGTGACGATGCTTTTCAGACCCAGGAGGCCATGGTTAGTGGATTTCAAAAAACATAGTTAAAGAAGAAAAAAAAAAAAAAATTACAACAGTCCAGCAAATTGCTAGTCTGGGTGAACCGTAATTGGGTGAAGAGCTTAGTATTCTAATGTCATCTGTTTGTTCATTTCACATTTTTTAAAAGACTAACAACCAAAAAACCCACTTCCTTTTCAAGGGTTTTTAAAAAAGTCTACATTGAGCATTTGAAAGGTGTGCTAAGACCAGGGTCTCTCGTGCATCTGAGGCTACTTTCTAGCAGAGTGGTGCCATCACTGGGCATTTTGGGTGGGAGGTGGACTTAGCTGGTGCATAGCCGTGGGCCCTCTTTCCTGAGGAGTCCTGGATTGCTCTGGCCCCAGCACGACACTCATCAAAACTCACAGTGCTTCCTATTCCTGTCTTTCCTGTGAAGAAATAGATTCCTAGAAAGAAACTGATTGCCTACAGGTCAAAGAAATTCAGAACTGCCAGCCAGCCTGACCTGCATTCAAAGAAAGTATTTTTATTTCTGTAGAGGGAAAGTTAGACCGCAAGTGTCTCCCCACCCAAGGAGAGAGTTCCGAAGACAACACATCTCTGCAGTTTTTCCTGAGTGCCCTGAGATACTTCTCAAAGCCCTTGTGTTTAATAAGTGATGTACATAAACTGTTTTGCTTAAGCAACTTCATTTCTCTGGTTCAGTGTATAGGAAGCAATTCTAAACAGTCAATGTTAATTTCTTCCCAAGCCTGATTCTTAATTCTCTGTAACACCTCGAGGACTTTAGTGCTTGTCCCTCTGGGCGAATGGTTATACCCAACGTGGGTGCTGCAGGAAGGCAAGCTAGTGTTACCCGCGTGCCCTGGACTGACACAGAGACAGTGGAACATGCTAACTTCTGAAGACTCCAGTCTGAAAACCAGCTGCCAACTTTGTTACCTACCTGAGGGCTATCCTGATGTAATTAACCTCTCATAATTAGTGATCCCATCATTTTAACACCTTTTTTTGGTTCTCTCTGACCTTTAATCATAAAGTGTTGGGGATGTTAAGTGATTTGCCTGTAATTTAGGATGGTTTTTTAAAATGTGTATATATATTAGTTAATTAGAAATATCCTACTTTCCTATTGTCAACTGAAATTCAGAGCAGTTTCACGAGTGCATGGATCTGGGTCTTAGTTTTGGTTGATTCACTCAAGTGTTCGTTGAACGTTTGTACCTGATGTATCTGCTTGTCTTGACCGAGAGCATCATGCAACAGGACCCTCATTCCAAAGCAGGGGCCTTGGGAGAGGGGTTTGTGTGGGGTATTAGCAGTTATTTCAGAGAGATTATGGAAAAATAATAGGTGGCCGTGCTGTGCAACTCCCTAAATGGGAATTCTCAGGTAGAAGGTGACATTTTCAGAAAAAGTTCAAAGTAAATTGGAAATATGAACTGCAGCTGCAGTTTTTACCCCAACCACAGCATCCCAGGACTTTGAGTTTTACAGTGAGTTTGAGGCACCCACCAGCTCTGTCTATAACATGAAAATTTCAGGGCGCAAAGGGAGACTATGGGCCCAAAGCTGCATTGTTATCACAAACCTTTGTTTTGCTGAACAAAGGCTATAACAAAACCAATGTGCAGACTCATTGGCTTGGTTGTTGGTTTCCAAAAGAGGAGGTGTGTATGTGATTGGTAATTATTGCTAGTGCAAAGGTCATATTTGTAAAGGTTTCAGATAATCATTCTGGGTAGAATCCTGCTAGGTCATTGACAGGACTCAGCTCAACCTTTGACAGATATTAGTGGTTATCTTAGAAGATAGAAAGGGAGGTGAGAATTCCAAGAATACTTTACTTTTAGAATATCCTGTATAACACTTGGCTCTTGGTGCCACCAAATTAACACCAAGGCAGACTCCAGTCAGAGCTCCAGTTTTCACTTGCATCTGTAAATTACAGAAACACCTTTCCTCAAGCCTAGAATCTGTGTTTCTCACCAGACTCCAGGTAACTGTTGCCCTGTTGTAACTCCACAGGTGTGATGGGCTTAGGCGATCTGTTCTAGAAGCACACCTTAGGTAACTCCCATGGAATAATGTACTGGCCATTCTGACCTGTCACCAGCAGATACATAGGACACAGGCAAAATTCTTGTTTCCTCTAGTTCTTTCCTGTAGCACTCCTCTTTTAGAATCTAAATCTTCTACAAAAGCTTTGAATACTGTGAAAATGTTTTACATTCCATTTCATTTGTGTGTGTTTTTTAACTGCATTTTACCAGATGTTTTGATGTTATCACTTATGTTAATAGTAATTCCCGTATGTGTTCATTTTATTTTCATGCTTTTCCTGCCATGTATCAATATTCACTTGACTAAAATCACTCAATTAATCAATGATCATGTGAGTTGTGACTTTTTTCCCCCAACGATACACCATTCACCCTCTTCCACTGCACACATACCCCACTCCTGATTTTTTTTCCGTGATGTTTCTGGTCTCAATTAAATAGCTTTCAAGAAGTAGCTGGGCATGAGTGGGCTGGAGAAGCACCCTCACCTGCATCTGACGTTTACCTTCTGCTCCCATGAATAGCTTCTAGGAGTGTTTCTCCTGGCTGTGTGTGTTTCAGATCAGAAAGACGGTTAAATACTTGCTCTGCGAGAATCTATTTTTCAACCCTGCCTGAGTTTCTTCTGCTTTTAAATGCTCTTGCTGCTCTGGCCAATTCAATGTTAAAATTACTGACTAAAATTTGAAAACTCTTTGGTATCTGGAATCTTAGACTCCCATGAGACCTTAGAGGAGACCCTTGTAATTTACAGATGGAGAAATTAAGATGAGAGGTGGCTAGGATTTCCTAAAGAGTTTGGGGCTCCTAGGTCAATGGTGTTGCTGGAACTAGAACTCAGGTCTCCCAAGTCCTAGTCTTGTGGGAATGATGTCTGACTTACCACTGAACTTCCCTTTGGACCCAGAGTGTGGCCTTTGCCAGGCACATGCTGTTTCATATTAGGTTATATACTTATTGCCTAAGGAATTGTTCAGTGTGACTTGTAATTCTGTAAGCAATTACAGTGACAGCTTCAGTTGATGTCATTCCCTGACTAACAAGGCACTTCCAAACCTCAGACAACTGGCAGTTTTATCTAGAAGTGAGGAAATACTCCATCACACAAAACCACGCCTAAGCACAGAGACACTTTTTCAGTCATCGTATGGAGACTTGTAAAAATTCCATTAATGTTGTGCTCCAGTATGGAAAGATTTCTTCATCTAGTGTACCTGACTGGTGAACTAGCCCAGCCAAGGAAACTATTAGCATTTCCTTTCAGTTCCCCTGTGGTTAATAAGGAAAATGAATGGCTTCTGTGGCTCAGTGGTTGAGTGTTGACCAATGAACCAAGAGGTCACTGGTTCGATTCCCAGTCAGGGCACATACCCAGGTTGCGGGCTCAATCTCTAGTGGGGGGAGCACAGGAGGCAGCCAATTGTTTCTCTCTCATCGATGTTTCTATTCCTTTCCCTTCCTCTCTCTCTAAAAAAAAAAATCAATAAAAACATATTTAAAGACAAAAAGAAGGAAAATGTATTTTAGGCTGGGTATGGATGTCATGGTCACTCCACTGAAGTCCTACCACCATGACCCATGGTTTCCCATTGCTGTTTGAATTTATCTTTGAACATCAGCAGAAGAATGAAATGTGTATAAGGGCATCTTGGCTTCAGCTGCTGGAGTAGCCCCGGAGTTTGGGGTGTCCAAGGGTCAGGACTGCTTGCACCTTGTGTCTAGGATGCTGGCAGTGTCAAAACAGCAGCCTTGTCTTCAAGCTCTATAGCACCCATGCCTCTTCAAGGAATTACACCGGTGCTCTCCGACTTACAGGCAGAAAGAGATGAAGGGCCAGTCACTATGTTTCCAAGTTAGGCTGGTCTTACTTCTAACGCCATTTCCCCACCATGAATCCAGAAGTGCCATCATTTCACTTTTGCTCCTGAGAGAGAAAATCTGTACCCATCATCCAGTAGTAATCAAAGGAAGTAGGGAGAATCTTAAATCTTAGTGTGTATCCCCAAGGGGAACTAGCTAACATGCAATTTCTGGCTTCTACCCTTCAGACATTTGGGTCCAGATTGTTTGCCACGGGGCCCTGGACTCTGAACTTAGAACTGGCGCTCTAGGACCCCGCAGTCCACTGGGTCTTACTTTGCAAAACATTCTAGTAGGACTTAATTGGCTGGGAATGAGACAAAGATTTTTTTTGGGTATTTCCCTTTCCCATACCCACACACTTCATATTGCTGCAGCCCTTTCTGAAGTTTTCTGAGCTATTCTTACTGGGCATTAGTTAATAGAGGCCAGTTAGTACATGAGGGAGGGACTGAGCCTAACTCCTTTAGAGCTAGGTATACCTGGCTCTCCAAGGAGTGCTTCTCAAAATTTAATATGCTCGAGAGTCACCTGGAGACCTGGTTAAAATGCAGATTCCCACCAGGTGGGTCTGAGGCGGGGCTGGCGTTCCGCATTTCTGGGCTCCTGCTGTGGGGAGAGGCTGACCCTGCCAGTCCACAGAGCACACTTTGAGTAGTGAGGCTCTAAAGGACAAGCAGCAGCAAAATCACACTCAGGACAGTGAAACAGGAAGGGCTTAGCGTGGAAGCCACAGGACAGCCTAGGCTGGGCTGCTTTGGCTCACTGGGAAGTCAGAGAAATGGGGGCCTTGGAGACAGGTTCAGGGGGTTAGCCCAGGATGAGCTGCCACTGCCCATTGCTTCCCTGGTTGTAAGTCTCTTGGGGACCCTTAGAGGGAAGAAGTGGGGGAAGGGAATTTTTGGGCATGCTCCCCTCAGGGAGAGCTCCAGTTGGGTCCTTTGCTTTGAGGATATTTATCTTTCTCTTGCAGGTGGGAATATTAGAGGAAGTCTCAGGGGAGGGTCTCAATAGAACATTCATTCAGCTTTGCAGGTGTGCTCTTTCAGGGTCATGGTCTCCGCTGATTGGTCTGAGCCAGGGGAGGGGGTTATTAGTCAATGTAGCTGGTCCTGAGGCAGCCACGGCATCATTTGTCTGGTTTTGTTGCTTTTCTGGACCTGGAGCTGAAATACAACTGAGGCCGAGATGTTATCCTAGGGAGGAACGGGTCAGGGGGACTATACTGCATGACCTGCAATATGAAAGGTCAGTGGGTCTAAACTGCATGACCAGCGATATGCTATGCTAGCGGAGGAAAGGTTACCCTGGGGGTGAGGTCGTTGTTTTCTCAGTTTTGCCCCTTGCTAGGCACCTGGAGCTTTCTGCCCTGACGACCTTCTGTACCTGGCCCATCGTCCTGCACTGTTCATGTCTGTCTTACTGCCCTATTACAGAAGAGTCACAGTTAGAAACCCAAAGCTGGGGCTTATCTTCTCAACCCACCCATTAGATTTCACTGTTGTCCATGGTCTTGAGGGTTGGTTCTTTTCCCTCAGACTCCCTGAATTTTGGAAATTCACGGACCCCTTCTTTTTTTAATTCCTTGGCAAACTTAGAATCTGATCTCTGCCCTTTACCAAACTCCCCCAGTCCCTGTCCTGGACAACCAGAGGTCATTGGAGTTAACCAACTGGTGGCATTTACCTCGACCGCTAAAGTAATATCAGACTTTGACAACAGAATTGGGACTTTTCATGTTCCATTTGTTCACATCTGGGCAGTTTCAAGCTCAGGTTATGGGAGAGGCCAAGACAGGGGGGTGGGGAACTGAAGTATTTGGAGGGGAAATCCCACATCTTTGATAAATTGAGGACAGCCTGCCAAGCAAGGCTGACTTACCGGGGGAACAGGCGTTAGGAATTTCTGTCAGCGAAGGCCGGGGAAGGCTGCCTTTTGTAGGCTTAGGAGAAGATGGGTACCAGAACAAGCTCCAAATAGGAGCAGAAAGCTCCTGTGTCTTTATACATCTGTGGACTATTTAGATAAGAAGGGGCTGTACTTAATCATGGAGGGAGTTGTTTGCTTAAATAAAGGGAAGGAGAGTTGCATGTATGTGTTTAAGCAGAGAAAGAGGAGGTGGGAGGAAGGAGAAAGGATCCAGCAATTTTCCACGGCTGAAACCCCTCCACGTGGTTTTAATTAGGATGACCTTCTCATCACCTGAATGCCAGGATTGGTGGGTGGGAGCCGGGTGAAGGGTTTGGAATCCTCATGGTTCTGTCTGTGGGGTTCAGCCCTGCTCTGCTGTGGGCATCCGTGAGCTCCGAGGAAAGGCTCTTACTCCCTTCCTTCCCGGGAGCATTTGCGTCCTGGGCTCTAGGGCTGCACGCATTCAGGAAGCCTGTTCCTTGGCTAGCCAGGTAGGTCCGAGGCCAGGGCTTCTCTAGGATTCCACAGATGTGAAGACTTAAAGCGATCGAAAAACCCAGCACTGCACATTAGATTTCCTTTCAAAAAAAACAAGGGGAGGGGCGATGAGGAGGCCTGCTGCAGTGCTTTGTGCATGATCCCATCTCTGTTGCACTGTTTACTAATTCTCACTATAATCACCTGTCACTGTTTAGACCCGGGAATGGATTGGAGGTGGGAGGTGGCTTAAGGGCCTCGTTTCCATTTTTGCTGCTTAGTTCTCTGGAGAGTTTATGAAGATCTGGGTAATTTTGCCTTTTTGCGTAGATGATTAAGCCCATAATCTGAAGGAATAAAGGCATAACAGGCCAAAACCCAAGTGCCTGTTTCACAATGCGGCCCAGGGACAGCCAGGGTGGGTTCTGCAGAATTAACTGGATTCTTCTGGGATCAGTACTGCCTCCCAAGGCTGGCAGCTGAGGCCACCAAGAATCTAAATTTGGCTGCTGGTCTTGGCCAGTGACCAGTGACTTTCAGCAGCAGTATATCCCTCTGGCCTGGCAAATCCGGTCCTGACCTGGGCCAGGCCTGGGCAAGGTCCCCGGCCCCTGCAGAGGAGGTAGAGGAAGCAGAGGAGGCAGAGGAGAGGGATGAGGCCGAGGCAGTCATCGTTGGCTAGAGTAAAAATAAGCACCGGCCTGTAAACTGCAATTAATGTCAGCGCGACCCTTCCTAGCTCTGCCTCTGACTTGCTGACCAGCATGTGTAAACTCTCTGTGTCCTCTCGTGCTTCTCTCAAGTTGCCTCCTTACTTCAGATGCCGCCTCTCTGCAGTGCCAGGACTGACAGCTCCTAGGACATGGAGACTGGAGACAGGTGATGAAGGCATCCCACGCCGGAGACGTGGTAGGGACAGCTTAGATGAACACCGGGACCAGGCTTGCATTTATTTCCACTCCGTGGGCTGGAAAGAAAGCTCACCTTTAAAACCCCCTGAACTGGCTTGATCGTGTCGTGAATCTTGATGACAATACAGGACAGCTGGTGTGTCCCGGTCAGTGTGGCTCCTAGCAGA